TCATAAGTGTTGATAAGGCACTAGCTCACTAGCTCACTCACTTGCTCAAGATGAATCATGTACATGATGCAGTACCCAAGGATGTCGATGCTCCTAAGAATGGTTCCTGCGATTAAATTTTTACCGGAAATAAGTACTATATGAGATGGTTATAAATGTACACAAAAATCTCCGGCTGATATGAATTTCTTTATTCGTAACAATGAGGACTTCAATTCAGCTGGTATTTGTGGTCAGCGTCTCGAAAGAGTTATATCTCACTTTCAAATCGTATTAAACAAAAGGAAAGGAAGACCCCATGATAGAAGAATGTTGGTGTTTCCTTCAAAGATCCACGGTAAATGCGAAATATATTTAACCAGTGTAGATCAGTGTTGCCTATTCCCAAAGTCACTAAACCTTCGTTTCTGGTGATCGTCTTTGAAGGGCACTGGCGAAGGAGAAAGAGGTTTCATTACTTTGAGTCGGGGAAAATGCAAAATTGCGCATCAATCACCAACACACACGGACCATGGTGTGAAGTAATAAGGGAAGTTTTTGCTACCCAAAGTCCTATTACTTCCCCAAATCCCGATTGGACCACCACTCAAGAGGAAATAGACTCAATTCACTCCTCCAACAAATCTGATAGCCAGCCTGGAAAACTACCTCAGCCCAAAAATCAGATGCCCCCGCCTCTAGAGGAATTTGTTTTCCCAAAGAAAACTGCTTGACACCATTGTGTTAGCAGTCTTTTAGTCTCATACGTTTTTTAGAGGCAAAAATATCACCGATAAGTTCCATAATATATATAAAATTGAACTAAGAAACTTGGATACTTTTGATGCAGTTGATCAATCAGTTATTTGCGTGATAGAGGTACTACAAATCACGTAGCCCTCCGTCACTAAACTAAGACGGTCCAATCAGATTAAACTTAAGAAAAACATTGGCATGTAACATAAAAATGTCTACCATAACATTGGAGTCGATTCTGAGTTACCAGAAAACTGGTAGCAGCGTCGATATTTGGCGCCAAATCAAAGGGGGCCCCCTTCTTTACACTAGAACCAAAAGAAGATACCACCATGATGGTATTTCATTTGTTCACAAAAGCAGTATCTACTTCCGACTTTTTTAGCCTAGACGTTCTAGAGTTAAGTAATCCTGCAGACGTGAAATCCAAGAAAGAATATGATTTGAGGAAATCATATTTTGAAGAAGCTGTCAGAAATAAAGAAAATGGAAGATATGAACCTGCTGTTCAATGGAATGGAGATCATCTTCCTCAACCAACAATAAAGAACTATTAAAAGATTAGAAACAACAGGTTGCACAGTGAAAACTTGATCACAACTAATAATGTGTTTAAGGACTTACCTCATAGTCCTGTTGTGAAACGAAAGTTAACTACAAAGATGCTCACAGTCTTTAATGGTTCTGCCAGTCAAGTCGGAACATCAGCACTGAAAGGATGTTTGGAATTTAGATCTAATTACCTCGAACTGCTACTTAGCCTTCTTAAATTTATGAAGCGTAAATATGACATTGTTGACGACATCGAGAATGCCTTCTTGCAAATAAGTATACGACCAGAAGCTAGAAATTATATTAATCCTAAGTTATTATATTAATCCTAAGTTACCTTAAGTTATTTCTATAAATATCTTAAGAAATCTCTAAATATCTTAAGAAATTATCTTTTTTAGTGGAATAAAAATGAAAGCAATGATCTTAAGATATTATAAATTTCCGTTTGGTTTCTGGTATGAAACGTAGTCATTTTTATCTTAAACTCTGTGTTAAAACATCAATTGAAAAAATATCTAAAGAAATATGACCAGAAAAAAAAATTTCAAAATACAATCAGAAAATTGTTGAGATCCTTCTTCAAAGTGCTTATGTGGATGATCTAGTTAGTTAGATAACGAATCGGAAATATTACTATTTATTGAAATCTCATCATACTTTGACTGAAGGAAAATTTAACTTGAGAAAATGGAAGTGTGCAGAAGATATCAATTTAAAACATGTTACTTCTGTTTTAGGATTGCTTTGGAATCGCACTGAAGATGAACGGAAAGTTAATTCGGATTGGATGAAACCTACAAGCTTGAAATCGTATAGAAGAAAGTAATTCCTTCCACTATACATCGAATAATTGGAGTTATATATATTGTTCTTTTAATTTCCAATCTAATTCTGTAAAAGATGTATAACAAATAGGGAATAGGAACGTTGAAGATATATGAAGCGAGATTTTCTGAAATGATTCGAAGAGCTGAGTTTCCCGAAGAATTTGACTATAATCGCTGTATTTCTCCTGCTGAGAGCAGTCAGTCTAATATTAATATTCATACACTTTGTGACGCCAGGATTTTCTGGACTGATTCAACAACTGCAATGAACTGAATTCGATGTGAAGAAATGTGGACAGTTTTTGTCAGTAATAGAGTTCTAGAGACAAAACCTAAACGATCCTGTCCTTTGGATCTTGACCGTATCTCAAAATCCTACAGATTGACCGTCAAAAAGGATGTTCTGCCCAATAACTTTCATGTAACTAATGGTGGGAGGAACCGACGTGACTTCGAGAAACTAAAGATTACTGGGCTGTTAGGAAAACCGTTTTCAATGAACAATCTATTATACAAGAAAGGAAAGACGAATCCAATTTTTTAAAGTCTTCCGATAGTTTGCTCTTTGAACCGAACTGAAAATGAAAACTAAAGCAGCGAAAACAGTACAGAAGGTCACTTAAGTAGACATAGTACAAGTTGGTACCATAATTATTTTTCCAGTTGATAAAATGCTACTAATGATTGCTTTGATAAAACGATTCATTTCGAGCTGTAGAAATTCTACGTCATGAATCATTGGTAAGTTATCATATGAAGAAGTAAAACTGGAAGATCTAAAAATAATGAAGATGTTACAAGACAAATACTTTACTTCTGACGAGAACAGAACAAAACTAAACTCTTAAACAACCTACACAGATGGGGAAGGAAATCTTACGGAAAAGACAAAATTACAAAATTAAGGTATCGAAGGAATTCAGAAGATTTCAAAAACCCTATCATTTTACTATTTCATCATTAAGCCTTGGGCGGAATGTTATGAATATATGACAGAATATAAGAAGAATCCTCCTTCAGGAGTACAGATACTGCTGAATATTCTGCGTGAACATTACTGTATTTTGAATGCAAGTAAAACTGTTCGATTAGTGTTATGAAAGTGTATCATTTGCTTGTGACATGCTAAACGAAATGTGAACACCCTACTGCATCACTCCCAGACAACAGAATTAAAGATGCTGTAATTTTTTAGATCTTTGTTTTTGGATACGTGAGCTGTATTCAGAGCAGTCCATTTTGAACTTCTTTCATATAACGATCGAACGATCGTTATATGAACGTTAACGATCGAAGTCTTCCTGCAAAGTTTTCTTAGATTTATCGCAAGAAGAGAAAGACTATCAATCGTTTATTGTGAACAATGGAAGTGATTTTATGGCTGCATCAAGTTATTTAATATTATTTAAATGGAATTCTATTGCGCAATTTAGCGAAATTGTACGAAAGATGCAATGGTTCCCCCCCCCAATCCTTCTACCTTGGTGATGGATCAGTGTGCTGAAGCATATATTTAGATGAGTTCTGAGAAATGCTTTTTTATCTTATGAAGAACTGATTGCTATCTTAAATGTGCAGAATCGGCTTTAAACTCCAGACAACTTTCTCATGTGTCAAAAGTGATTGTGAGCTTATACCTTTGTCGTCTAATTCATTTTTGCAAGGTTTCCAGCAAAGTTGTGCTCCTGGCTTCGATCAAGTACATAGACTTATCCTTAACAAAGCAATTAAATATTGCCAGCAACTTATTACTGATATCCGGAAAAGATTCAGATCCGAATACTTGGATCTCTTGATTCAAAGAAGTGACCAGAAGAAACAGGGATGAGAAATTCAATTTGGTTGAAGTTGTGTTTATTGCCAGTGATAATGTGAAATGTACTGACTTGCTTTTGCATCTCGTTATTGACATTCAGATTTTTTAAAAAATATTAAATAATACCCATATGCCCCAATATCATAAGAGAAATAAAATAATCTATGTTTCTTAATTAAAAAGTCATCTCATAACATGCATTTGCGTGATAAATCGACTAAAAGTTCAGTTTATATTTTTTCTTAAGACCTTGAAATTTGAATGTTTCTTTGCGAAAATATAGTTAAAAGATCCGATACTTTGAGGAAAAACTGAAAATAAATCATTATTCTTTACCAAGGTAGACAATATATGGCATCAGAAGATAATTATAGTGATAATACAGGTGTAATAGGATATTTTGTTAAATAACTAGAGTTATAATTTGAAAGACAGATTAACGTTGATTAGTAACACTTTTAAAACAATCTCTTTGCTATGTCTTGTGAAAGATAAATTTCTAGAAGTGCAAAATAACGCGATGTAACAGCCTAAAAAAATAGTAATAGTTCGCTAGAGATGTTACTGCGTCAAAAATTAAAACAGAAGTGCATTTTAAACGGGAGCGGGACATCATCAGAGAATAATATCAGACGTTTTTTGTTGAAAACAGGCACAAAAATCCCTATTTTCATGAAAACTTCAAGTACCTTTCTAAGCACACTGAAGTTATTCTGCTCAGTTTAATATTTTATCGCATGTATTTATCAAGTTGAAAAATAAGTAATAAAAATGCAGAAAAATCCGAATTTGTTTTGTAATTGTTGATTACCAGCTTTTTAAAAACAGCATTTCTCTTTAGTGATTGACACATAATTTTTCTCGTTGAAATTCACTTCGATCATATTATTTTAGATGGTAAAAGATTATATTTATCCATGTTTCACACTGACTTTTATTCTGGAAGAATTCATTTTTTCAATTACATTGTTTGTAATTTAGGTAAAAATTCATGTAAAGAAATAATTGCTGAATGGAATATATATCTTTGCCAAAGAAATAAACAAATATCAATAAATCGAAACCAATAATTCAAAAATACATTTATTAACGAAAATAACGAAAGCAAAATTACTATGTACAATAAGAAATACTATGACATTTCTTAAAAATATAATTACATAGCATATTATCGAAAGTTATGCATTTTACAAAAAAATGTCAATATGTACAAAACTCTTCAACATGTCTTTTACATTTTTTACATGCCTTTTCCCAGAGCAAATATGGGATAAGAAACAACATTCGTAAATGACGTACGATATGCATAAGTAGAGACACAGAAACACACATAACAGAAAATAATATTTTACAACAGAAAGAAATACATCAGTTAGAAATACAAACTTTGTTTTTACTTATATGTACAATATAATACAGATATAGTTAATACTATGAAGTGAAAAGTAACGCTGAGCACATAGGGAGAAAAGTGAATTTTTTGACAGCGTCCAGGAGTTAAAGTCCAGGAAAGAAAAGCCCTAAGGAATTTGCTAAGGTATTGCCTTATTGCTCGAATATTAGGCATATATCAAGAACGGACTCAAAGAATTGCAGTTATCGAAAAAATACACGAAAGTGTGCAGGAAAAAAAACCTCTATGAAACAATTTTTTTTTTTCTTTTTTAAAACATTCCAGGTTTTGAAAGTGCATATCAAAAAATTAAAAGTCCAGAGAATTACATTTATTAAAGAGTGTCTAAAAAACAAAAGTTCATAACAAGAACTTCTAAAGTCTCGAGAAATAGTATTTATTTATGAGTATTTAAAAATTAAATTCAAAGCAGAAGTCTTAAAATGAATTGTTTTTATTCTAGATATCTGGAAAATTAAATGCAAGTCCTCGTATATATTCAAGCTTGCACAAAACCAAAAAGCACACAGCAGAAAGGTCCTGAGGAATTATATTTTCACAACAGTATTCAAGCAATGACTTCAAAGCAAGGAAAATAATGAAAAACTACATTTACGCAGAAGTGTCCAAAAATTATATGCAATGAGAGAGGTGAAGAATCCTTTTTATCCGAATACTCAAAGATACAAAAGTCTAAATAAACACGAACCTATATCGCCTGTAAGGTTACATTTTATTAACCGTAATAATTAATTTTAATATTCCTTTTCAAATTCTAAATATTCATTTAAAATAATTAAAATTTTATGTCTTAAATTGCGCAAAAATAGCTGCGGTACTTTCTGTAGCATACTTATTTATTAAAATGCATTCAAATTTCAGAATGAAAGCGCTTTAGAAGAGAAATGGCTTGGAAGGCTCAATAGAAGGCTATCTAGATTCGAAAAAGATTGTTGATTTAAAAAAAAAAAAAAAAGAGGGGAAAAAAAAGAAGAGGGAAAAAAGAAAACTGTTGAAAGTATTTACAGATATCCCAAATTTGTTAAAAAAATCAAACAGTTCGTTTAGATAATAATGGGATAATATAATTAATTAATGAATAAGATAATTAATGGACTGAAAATGCCTGGACAAAACCCTAGTGCATAATTAATGCAAAGTTAGCATTTAATTTTAATCGACTTTAATGCATAATTAATACAAGGTTAGCATTAAATTTTAATTAACCTTAATGCTTATCTACATCACTTTCATCACTTTCTATATCATGTGTTTTTACATTCTCATCCTCCAACTGTCTGTACGCACCATTGGTGGCTTCGTGAAAAGAATCCAAAATCATTTTGGCATTTGAGCCTTCGCTAAGAAAATCAACGAGCTCTTCAGGTGAAGATTCGTATCCTTCATTTAAATCTGTTCCATCTGGTTCGCTGGAAAGATCTTCCAAGGCTGACCTTTTAGCTGACACCAGAACCAAAAGCAAAGCTTCTGGCGCAGAAGACTTCTTTTGAATTTCATCTCTACTAACTTCTTTCACAGCTACTCTTTTGTCTGAACTGTCAGAGTTATCTGAAGTTAAAGATGAATCTGTATTACGAGATGGTCCATAACCATAAGAATTGCCGGAATTCTTTTCTTGTTTCCTTCTATTACTAGAACTAGAAGCATTTAAGGTATTTTTGACAGTGTTAGTTGTTGAAGAACTTTTATAAGCATTTTCTTGCTGTGGTTGTGTCTGAGGACTGTAACTTGATTTGTAGTTAGAGGCTTGATTTTGGGACTGCAAATTTTGCCTGGCAGTACTTTCTTCAAACCTTTCCTCCTGATTTGTACTAATAAAGCCGTTTCGTGTTCCTGATAATCTATAATTAACATTTTGAGTATTTTCAAATGGGATATCAAAGTTTGAACTGGAAGATTTATGGGAAGACTCATCAGAAATATGGGTTGGTAGATCAATAGCAGGTTTATAATTTTCGTTAAAAGATTGCTGTGACTGTGATCTGTAGTTGAGGTTTGAGTTTTGATTTTGATTGAGGTTATAATTTCTTGTAGTACCGGAATTTTCGTTATTGTACTGATTCACAGGTTTTTGGCCTGAAGATATTGCCGAAGATCTGTCGTAAGAAACAAAGTTTTCTCGTTTTCCTTCTGAGGAATATTGTTTATTGCCGTCAAATTCTCGGTGCCCTAAGAAATTTCTAGACTGATGTATTTGGGCACTGTGCACTGGATTCTGAGAGCTAGTAGGTTTCTCATCGTAAATGAGAACTTTGTCAGTGGAAAATTCTTGCTTTTGGTTATTTTGATTCAAATTGACGTTTTGATTTGAAGAAAGAGTAGGTCTTGTGTAAGAAAGTTGCTCATCAGTTTTCTCCTGTGCATGATATGTACGATACTGAGGCTCATTACCTATGTTCTTATGATTACTTTCCAACTGAATTCTTTCTTGATCATCCCATACTGGATTATTGCGGGGAAACGTAACTTGCTCTCGGCTTTGGGAGAACACTTGCTTCTTTTGGTCAGCAATTTGGAATCTTAAGTCAGTGTGACCGCCTCGTGGATTTACGTTAGCCTGAAAATCTTCATTGTCTCTTTTCTGATCTTCATAAACATTTTTACTCGAAACGTATGCTTGTGTATTTCTAGGGGTTTCTCTAAAGTTTTTATTTGAGCTTAAAGATGGTTCCGCAGATGTATAATGTATTTCAGGATGTTGTTTATTGCCGTTAGTGACATATACATCTGTTTGTTGCAGTTTGGTATTTACAGGGCCATCAGATAAGCTGTAAGTAATTGACTGTTCATGCTTATAACCAGTTGGCTTGCTTTGCTGAACAGAAGACGAAAACGATGAGTACAGTTTGTCTTGGGAATGGAAGGTAGATGCATCTTGATTAAAGTTTTGATGTTGCAAAGGCGAGTAATTAGATACTGTTGACTTTCCATTATTATTAATCTGTCTCTTTTCCTCAGTTCGTGGATAATTTTGGTTAATCGGGTGATTTACATCTGCAACAGTAGCTTCTTTAACAGTCTGGTATTTTGAATTCTGAGGGTGTCTGTTTGTTACGATTTCATGTGTTCCTGACAACTTTCTGAAATTCTGATTATCGGTATTTAAAACTCCTGAACCATCAAAATTTGCTCTATTTTCCTCAAAATTCTTTTGGATAGCATGTTTTGGAGATTCATAATTGTAAGTTTGGGGAATATGAGTACTTTGACGGCTGTTAACGTGGGCCTCTCCGTTAAGAGACTGGATCGAACTGGAAGTATAACTGAATGCTTCATTTGATAATTGTGCTGCATTTGGAGATACTTCCTCATATCTAATGTTAGCAGCAGTATTAGGCTGTGAACGACGGCCAGTAGTTGTTAAATTTTGCTGATAATTTTGATTTCTTACACTTGGATATAAGCCAGAATTATCTTCATTGAAATTAATATTCCCTCTAAAAAAGGAATCAGGTCGTTTTCGAATTTCAGCATTATTTTCATCGGAAATCACTGTAGTATAGGACGAAGACGGATTCCTTAAACCTTCATTTACTAGATTTCCACCTGTGTGTCTGCTACTTTGACTAGAAACATATTGCCTGAGGTCTGTTGGTTTATTCTCTCGATTAGATGGTGAATATTGATTTATGGACTGCTGACGATCCTGTTGGGCTCTCAGTTCTGGTAAATAAAATGAATTACTTTTCGTACCAGAATTTTGTTCAATACTTCTGTAGACGTCTTGTGATTGGGTATTTAAGTTAATATTCCCGTTATCTAATTTGAATCCATACTTATCGACAGGTCTCCATTCAGTATTTCCTGAATTTCTTCCCGTTAATCGAGAATTCTGGAAGATAGAAGCATATTCTTTCTGATTCGTATTCATATTATACTGCGTCTCTTGATTATCAGTTGAGGTCAAAGGTTGTCCATAATTTTGCTCCTTGTCTTTCGAAAAGGAAGTTTGTTGATTAGATGTGGAATCTAAAACATCACTGTAAGTAGAGCTAAAAGGACTACTATAATTTAGTTTTGGAATGCTGTAAGAGTTGCTTGGCTTATATTCTTGATTGTCATTCGTTTTTGATTTACTGCTAGGTAAAATATTTTTGTTCTTTTGAATGGTGATCAACACTAAAGGTATTTTCTTAGCAGCTTTTGCATTCGAATCTGTTAAACCTGCAGTAGAGTAAGACTGACTATGGACTTCAGCAATTTCTTCTTGTTGATGAGACTGATGATTTCGGGTTTTAGCTTCATTTTCTTGGGAAAGATACTGAACTGCATCATTCTGATTATTATGCGTGTAATATCGGTTTTTTAGGGCACTGTCCTGAGGTTCATTAACATGGGATATTTGACGATTTTTCTCCGAATTCTGAAAAGTAACACCTTCCTGAGGAATGGTAGGCTGACTTCGAGAGGAATGAGCCAGTTGGTCTTCGAAAACAGAAGTTTTACGAGATCTGGAGTCATTTTCGTACCTTGCCTCAGGTCGAACTTGATGACGATTATCTAAGGAATGATACGATTGGGAGGATGAAGAAGGAACATTTCTGCCATTTTGCGTCAACTCAGAGTTAACATTTTTATTGTATTGGTATGATTTCACACTGTAACTTTGGCTCTCTTCAAGAGCATCATCTTGAGGGGGATGAGGAAGCTGAGCAGCGTAAATTCTAGTTTCAGCAGTAGGTTCTTCAGGAAGAGCAATGGACTGAATTTCCAGTGCCAGAAATGTTAACACATAGATGCAAAAACGTAACCACTGAAAAGATGCAAAAAAGTTTAATCAGTTAAAACTTAGAAAAATATTAAATACATATTTGATAAGATGAGTGATTTATGTGCAGGTAACTATGAAATTTTTGAGACAGGGGCAGACAATATGCGCTAAAAAACAACTATTTTTAGATACGTAAATTTGCATTCTTTTATGTCCGCAGACGATAATTTGTGGCAATAATTACAAGTTTTCTATCGTAGAATAAATTTTGAAAGAAAGGTAAATGGAGCTTGAGCTAGAGCATTATTGCGTTATGATTTTAAAGTAAGGCTAAATGAAGGATTCCTTCAACGTTTATAATTAGCACATGGAAATGAAGCTTCACTGTATTCAGATGATGTACAGAATTTCATAGAGGTCAAAATTCTTTCCAGGATAAAGAACATGAAAGAAATCTTTTGTCAGCTGTGGTCTAAGAAAATGTACGAAAAAAGTGTTAATCAACGACAATCATTGCACCTGCTAAATAATATTAGAGAAGGACTTAAAATTAGATTCACATCTAAATATAAATTTATTTGCGAAGAACTGAATATGAAAAAATTAGTATGTCTTCGGTTTCCCCATAGATTAACAGAACACCAAAAATCGGAGCATGTCAGAATTAGTAAAGCAATCCTAAAATTACTTAATGATGGTGGAAAACGTGTTATTTCTAAAATCATAACAGGCGATAAAAATGTTCATACTGTTTTTCGAACTTCCAACACACCAAGAAAGCAAAGTATGGGTCTCTGAACTTGACCCGCAACCAGCAGTGTAGAAAAGACATTAAGCAATGAAAAAAGCAACGTATGCCGTTTTCAGAAGTACAAAACTGATCAAAGTCCTCAAGCTAAAGGGACAGAAGGCAATTACAGCTTACTAGTACATCACTGAATGTCTTCTAGAAATTCTTCAAGAAGTGAATATTAGAAGACTCATGCTTCATCATGATACATCACTCAGTACGATTGCTTTATCATTCAGTTTTGAGTATTAATAGTTGAATTTCTTGAACAAAAACGCATCAAAATGATTGAAGATTCGCCCTATTCTCCTGGTCTTGTTATGTGTGACCTTTGGCTGTTTTTAAATTTAAAAACAATATTTACGTGAATGATATTTTCATTCCGAAGATGAGACTAATGAAGTTATAAGAGCACATTTTTCATCAATTTAAAAAAATGGGTAGTTTGAAGCACTTAATGTTTAAAAAATTTGCTTTCAAAGGGGTGTTGATGTTGTAGAAAATTACTGAGCACATCTAAGATTTGGTAAATTTAACTTACACCACTGAGCTGTATCTCAAAAATCTTAGAGTGATCCTTGTAGAATAAGAAGCAAGATAAGTTATTTATGACTTTTTAAACATAAGCCATAAATAACTCCCTTATTTGCTTGCATTTTACTCTAATATTTCTCGGTAAAAAATGATTGATAGTAAAACAGATGCATTTATAATATCAGATGCAAAGATAATTCAGATATATAAAAAATATGAAGACAATCATAACATTCCAGTAACAATAAAATAAATTATAAATTTAAAAAAAAATATTTCATACAATTTTTTTCCAAAGAGACCGAAACAAAGAAATACTTACGTGCATAAAATTAGAAAGTTAAGGAACTATTGCAAATTAAAGTTAAAATTTTACTTTTTAATTCTTACCTTACACGCGCATACACATTTATATGATTTGGAAGTTGATAATGATTTCGAAATTTATAACGCAGAGGAGAATATGATTTGCCGAGTAATAGATCGGCTCGTAAAACAGTCGGAATGGCTGAGTAAAAATATTTTTCTTTATTCTTGAGAAACATAGTTTTAGTATGCATTAACACGTCGTAATAGGCGCAATTTGTGTACCTATCTAGATTTCATTTGTATCTTTTCTAAATTTAATGGCAATATGATTTATGAAAGAGAGAAATAAGATGGATGCCAGCAGAACAAGCAAGCAATAGCAGGAATGCTACGTGTTCAAGATGCAAGTTTCGTAAAGAGTGATTTGAATTTCACTTCTGGATTTTCTTATTGATTATGAATGTAAGGTTTGGTAGACGCAGTTTAGATAGACTTACTATAAGCAGCTATTATTTTTTGGCCAGAAAAGGAGAAATAGAAAAACTGAAGTTAGAATTTTGATTTATTATATTTTTTATCTTAGAGCATCCAGCAGGATTGTTATCTTCCGAAACCCTTGCCTTAAACGTAAAGTTCGTCTTCTAAATTAAAATAAGAGTATTTGTTCTCATTAGCAGACTCAAGAGTTCTAAATTGTTCCCATCTGCGCAAGTTCAAAGATTGTAATGACGAGTCAAAAATTATCACTACATCAATGTAACGAGAAGACTGCATAATTCTTCATCCATTCCATCAAATTCTCGCTTGTCTGACAAGTTCAATGGAAGTATCAAGGAACGAAAATAAATGTTATATCATCGTTCTACTACAGCAATTAACAGCTTCAAAATTTATTCTGGATGTTTCTAATGAACTCGAAAGCGATTTAATTAGCCTTAAAAGATAGCATTTCGGCGCTGTGAAATCATCGGTCTATGTTTACAAGATGTAATTTTACCTGCCAGCGAAATAATATTTTTTTTTGCTTTCGCTCTTTGTCATTTTTGTCAATCACCCCCCCTGCCATTACTATTATCTTGTATCACAGTATCTTATACAGTATATTACAGAGAAAAGTGTAAAAGGAGCTGATGAAAAAGTCGACGCAAGAACAGATTTGGGAATCTTTAGTTTCCTTCCTCATCTCAGGGATTTGGAGAACATGCACAACATATTTCCAACGACAAACCCTTGAAAGAAGGAAAGAAAAAGACAAGAAAGGATAAATTATTCATCGTTTATTTATTATTCTTTTTAAGATAATAATCACTCGAATATAACTCTTTTAACCCGATGAAGACTGAATTTTTTAGTGACAAATTATACCCAAATTTAACTCTTTCTTAATTTGGTTCCTTTCTTGTCTTTTCCTTTCCTTCTTTCAAGAGTCTGTCGTTGGAAATCTGTTGTGCATGTTTCCCAAAGAATTGAGATGAGGAGAGGAAACTGCAGATTCCCGAAACTGTTCTTGCGTCGACTTCTTTTACATTTTTCTCTGTAATACACAGCATATAAGATAATCGTAATGGCAGGGGGGGAGCAGTTAACTTGTAGTATTCTTGTCGAATTACAAACAGTCGGAATGGCTGATTAAACATATTTTTCTTTATTCTAGGCTAGACGTAATTGCCATTTGAGTATAACTACTGTTAACAAGTTTCAACAGCTGGCACGGGTAAAAGAATACGCATGGATTTTGTAGTTCTTCGTATTTTTTTATTGCTTTTCTTGTGTTGCTAAGTTTTACTTTTTTATACAGCACTTATTGCTTAAACATTTATGTGTTTAGAAAAACATTAATGATTTTTAAAATACACTAAAATTTTACAATATTTTCCCCTTATATTTATTTTCTATTTCTTTCATACTACTTGATATTTAAAAACTATTAATTATCAATTTTATTAATAATTTTGTAATCAAAGAGATTTTGATTATGCCAATCAACTGCCGATAAATATTCGTTTATCGATCCCCAGACGATTCCTTCGTCATCATCAGTTCCCTTTAAACTTCATCGACTCACACGGGTCTTTACCGACAGCGTTGGAAATCCCTCATGTATGTTTGCAGTCCGTTTAGAATGCCATGCATTTAGACGACTGTATTTTAGTGTACTACAAGCTCGATGATGCACACTACGTGTGTTACCCTTTAAATCTTTTTCTCAGGTAGGACACAAGCAGTGACAGAACACGCCCTTTTTACCCTAGATCGACCCCAAATATTGAAATTTTTTTAGCTGAATCAGTTGTGGGTATGAACTGGTTGAGTGCTTTATGAACCACATTCCTCTGCTCATAGGGAAAAAAATGTAAACACAAACACATAAACTTAAAATAAAATTTAAAAAAAGCATCCGAAAGTTTTCAGGTTTTAACTGTCGACCAAAAGTGTTTGTTAAGGTTTTTATGCTCGAGCTCGCAGTCTACCACAGTATGCTTGAGCTCGCAGTCTACCACAGTATGCTTGAGCTCGCAGTCTACCACAGTATGCTTGAGCTCGCAGTCTCAGTTATACTCCCTCCTACTAACCCTCCTTTTTGTGTCTTTTTAGCTTTATTATTAAGCTTAATTTTCTTTGCATTTACGTCATATACAATTCAACAATAAAATTACAAAATTTAAAAGCAGCATAGCAGTATACATTTAGAATTGCCGATGCAGCGTTAAGTGTTGGCATGCATTTTTTTTTTGTCTTTTCTCTTCATCATATCAATGTTCAGTTTTCTTACTAAGGTGGTTTTACAAAACAATTTTTTTATCTTTTTTATTATAAACGTTTTGTAAGTTTACTTTATTTATTAAATATCGTGTTTTTGGCGCTTACAAGGCATAAAATTCGATACAGTAACAAAATCATAAAATGCTTAACATATCTTTAGAATTTCTGATAAACAGTTTCACGCGCTGGAGATAAAATTTTTTTATCCCGTACAATGTTGCCAATGCTCTCTTTGAAGTCATTGAGTTTGTCAATCAAAAATTCTTTAGAGTTTTACAAAATATGAAATAGATAATAAAGCACATTCCACATTCCAAATCTAGGCTTCCAAGTGCCCAAGTTCGGGTGAAGGACTAAGTTATTCAAAATTTGATAGCTCTAGGTACCGTCGTAAGAAACATGCATACATTCATGAAGATTATTCATTATTTAATTTTTTAAATATAATACAAGGCGATAATATTTGGTGGCAGCAATTTCAAAAGCGATACGCCGTTCATAGCGATTCAACGAAAAATACCGTTTAGAGATGAATATCTCATTCGAGATTAATGTCTCTTTTGGGCTAAAAAATTTTTAAAGTAATTATTATGATGCGCTAATGTAGAGTTTTTGTTTTACGAAATTTGTAAGACGTATTTTGAAT